TATGGCTTTTTTTTTTTTACTTTCAGGTAATGAACACTGCAAAACTACAAGCAAGGGAAAAATTATGAAATGCTCAATAAATGTAAAAAAAAAAAGATACTCCGAATTTCACTTACGGCGCTTTGATTAATTAGTAAAAAAAAGCTGCCCGTTTTCGCGATGATGAAATTTGTTTCAAAGCTTTAAAAAGTTGAGTTGTGGTCAGCACGGCCCACTAGGATGTTAGTAGGCAACTAGATTACTAGTTTTTACTGAGGTAGAATGGATAGCAATTAATTTGTTATCCATTTTTTTTTTTAGATTCTGTATTTAATTATAGTCTAATTGTGATAACTGTACTTAATGTTTTACAAGAAAAATTCCAGCTAAGACTAATTTATATTTCCTGTTTTCAACTTAACGTTATGCTCGTGAAGCTATGAAAAGACGTTCGTTGTTTTCATAAACTGACAGATATGAAACAAAACAAAACGCTCCCTTTATCTCAAAAATTGGATAATGAAAGACAATAAAATTGTTGTCAGTCAATCTGATATCAGTCCTAAGTATATCTAACAGTATTTAAGAAATACATTTCGGAAATGATGGTATAGTTTGTGCATATTTAATTTTTAAGAATGATCCCGGTCTCTTTCCCTACTGAATAATGGTTAATAACTGTAGCTTTAACTCAGAAAATAGTAAATCATTTGAAAGTAAACTAACACAGAATCACAAGCAAGGTGTGAAAATATACGAAACTAATCACTGTTTATTAATGTTGAATCCTCCTTAGATACGCTACAAAATTAAGTGTGACAAAATGAGGTTATATGTTTACTTTTCGTTAATTATTGTGTGTTTACATTTCTCAAAACATTTGCTGGGCATATTATATATTAACTAATGAAAGAGGTCATTTCGGATATGAACTTTATGATTTGAGGTGCTTCCGATCAATTTTTATTAGCTTCCGGTCAGGTTCTTATCCTGGCGATTTTAGTACAGAAATCTGTTTGTTTCTAAAATGTGTGCAGTGTTCGTGTGTATGTAAGTTATTTTGTCAAAAAGTGATAAAGGTCATTACACGAGTAATGGTTAAATAGTATATAAATGGTTAAGGGTGACCAATGTTATTTGTAATTAAATCATGTGTAGAGACTTTGATGTGTTGATGGGTACGTAGCCTCACTAAATAAATACCTTGGAAACAAGTGACAATTTGCAACCAAGATGAATTTACAAACACAGGACCTTTAATTCTTAGGTAACATCACTTGTACGTGAACTTTATCGTTATTTTGTGGTCCTAGACTCTTAATGTGCAAATAAGGTTTCATCTGTCCGGGCAACATCGTAATTCGTGGTAACATACGAAACTACTCATTCACTTAACTTAGAACGAATAGGATATTTCATAAGCAATATTTCGTTAATTTTCTTTTTGTTCATAATTCAAGGACGAAGGCTTGATTAGAATATTTTAGGTGCTGAGCGTTTATTTGTTGTTGTTTGTTTTTTTTTGGGGGGGTGTTACATTTGTCAACGTCCCTCTACTCCCAACCATATTATAATGTCATATTTTTGTAGTTTTGATCGGCAAGTTAGGCGAATATGAACTTTAGTAAGGTCAAATTTAATAATGTGTTTGTTTCTTATTTTGTCTTTAGAAGTTTGTATACGCTGCCAAAATGGAGGACATTTTTTTATTTATTTAAATGTCTTTTTTCTCCTTTCTTTCACTTTTTGTCTTGGTACATGTCTGGACTTGAATAAAACTTGCTTGAATGTTCCTGATCAAACTTATATTTCAAAATTAATTTTTTATCACTTTTCCCTTCATGTTTTGCAGAACCAGTTTAAGAAATATTTTCTTTTGGCTATTTTGAAGGGAATTTTTCTATCTTTAAATATATGAAAGGGACAAAGTTCACGTTAATATATTGTATAATTTATGTAACTAACTTTTTTCATTTCACAGTGAAATCGAATTGGGACAGAATTTGGTGAAGGATTATATTTAAAAGTTTTAAGATGGTTCTATTTTATACGCTTTTATAAGCTAATTTATGGTACATTGAAGTAAGTGATATGTATGCGTATAGTTGTTGTTATTGAGTTGTCATTTCAAGTAGCAGAAAATAATTTGGGAACTTCCTCTGATCGTGCCAACATTTTTCACTGGACGCTAGAAATTAAGTGAAGAAACTTCTAACACGTGTCTATTTCTCAGTATTAAATCTACGTGTAATTAACTGCAGATTCCATTGACATTTTTTTGGAGAAGTCCGTCACTTCGATGTCCCCAACTTCTAAACTTGGATACCAAAATTTCTTGTATATACAATAATTATTTCACAAGATCAAGCGTCTTCAAATTCTATTATTGACGGCGTGAACACAATAGAGACAAGCAAGTCCGGATTATATGATGTTTTATGCGTACGATAACTTTCGAACTGACATGTCACTCTGGTTATATTAATTCAAGGAAGATAATTTTATTTTTTACCTATGCAGGTCTGGATTGTAGTATTTTATGCATGTACAATAACTATTTAACAAATATAAGTCTATTGTTACATATGTATGTTCGAATTGTACATTTTTTTTAGATGTACTATAGTTATTTAACAAAGATAAACTTATTGTTACACATTTATGTCCGCATTGTACTATTTTCTGCATGTACAATAACTATTTAACAAAGATAAACTTATTGTTACATATGTATGTCCACATTGTACTATTTTCTGCATGTACTATAACTATTTAACAAAGATAAACTTATTGTTACATATTTATGTCCGCATTGTACTATTTTCTACATGTACAATAACTATTTAACAAAGAAAAGCCTATTGTTACATACTTAGGTCCGGATTGTACTATATTTCGTGTGTAATTTTTTTTAAAAACAAATACAAGGTTCCCCGGTGGGACAGCAGTACGTTTACAGACTTACAAGCCGGGTTTCGATTCCCCATTGTGGACATAGCAAATAGCCCAATGAGGTTTTGCTCTTAAACAAACCAACAAATATAAGCTTATTGTTACATATGTAGGTCCAGATTGTACTATTTTTTGTGTTTATAATAATTATTTAATATGTATAAGCTTAGTGATATACATTTTTATTTACGGTAATAACTAAATAACGGTTACCATGCCCAGAATATATTATTTGTTCCGGACTAATTTTTTAACAAAACTAAGTATATCTCTAGTTTTGAGACAAGTATTTGACAAAATAAGCGTGGACTGATTATTTTTCGTTTTTAAGTAACATTAATTAATTATTTTATATATTCTGTATTTTATATGTTAAGCTACATTGTTTTAATTTGAAACAAAGTTACAGCTGTGTTTTAAACCTTTAAAAGGGACTATGATTTTTAAGTGTATTTTATTGTTTTTTTTTTACACATTTGAAATACATATATATACAATACACTTGTAGCATTTATTCTTATTCTTATGCCACCCCCTCAGTGGATCAGCGGTAAGTCTGAAGGCTTATAACGCTAAAACCGGGTTTCGATACCAGTGGTGGGCACAGCACATATAGTCCATGGTGTAACTTTTTGCTTAACAACAAACAGACAATTTATTACTGTTTACCTTTTTTTTTTACTTCCACACGAACGTAATCTGTAAAGGTTTTGTAGAGACGTATTTAAATTAATGTGAATGTCTGTCTTCTTTGCCTCCTGGCAGCTCAGCGGCGAACTTGAGAGCTTATAATGCTAAAAATCGGTGCTCGATCCCTGCGTTGAGCATAGTCCAGATAGCCCAATGTGGTGCTTTGTACTTAAATTAAAACTGCCGTCTTTATCTATTTTATAAAGAAAAGAAGATAGTGTAACCTCTCATACATATACATATATATACGGACTTATAATGCTAAAATCCGGGGTTTAATTCCCCGTGGTGGACATATTTAACAGCCCAATGAGGTTTTGCTCTAAAACAACCAACAAATATAAGCTTATTGTTACATATGTATGTC